AAGGTCTGGAAACAGTGGGAAGGGTAGTTCCCCCACATTTGGCACACATAGTTTCGGGTGTGGTCATAGCTTTAGCAATTCTAACACTGTGATATTTGTCGTCTTTTGTAGGTTTCTTTTAAATCTTTCGCCTTTTGTGTGTAACATAGTAGTTATGGAGAAAATATTACTATCACTTTCATTTATATCGATATCAACAAAGAACAAGGGCAATGAGATTTTTGTTTACTGGTGCTTGACATTGAAAACTTTTTTTACAGTGTGGCCTATTTCTTCTATTGCCAAGGTGACGTCAGCCTTTGAAGTAGACGGATAAAGATTTCTGATAACAACCCTTTCTTTGTGTTGGCAATTTGATTATTTACAATTTTAATTGGGGATACGGTTCCAGCCGGCACAGTGGTGCTGTGAGAATTGTTTTACTATCGTGTGACCATTATATTTGACCATTAAACGGTGATCTAATTTCAAAGTGAGTCAAGATAACCATTTTTAAATGTAAAACAATAACGAACATCTTTACGACACCGCCAACAATGTGATCGTCCACTGTGTATGCATTATAATTCTGGAAGATCTATCTGATAGTGTTTCAACTATGGCCATGGAAAGCCGGAGGTTGTTAAGAAGTCCAATATTGTGTGTTTCTCCCTTATAGTTACTCAAAAAAATTTGAAATCAAATTTGAAATAATATTTGTGTGTATACATATAGATTAAAGCGTAATACACGTATACAGATGTGTCATGTTTACAGTACTGTTTTTGGTGAACGTCGTTTAGGGACTTATTGAGTTCTAGCGTTGTGGTTTTGTTTGGTAAGTCAAAAGGATTAGATAAGTCGCCTATCCACGTTTCTCGATACTCAGTAAATAGATTATGTAAACCGAGTATACCAACTACAAGAAAAGTTTATTCATTTAGATTTTAGAACAAACCTAAATATTAGAAAATAAGGGTCAAAGAACCCAATTATAAAATTTCACATATTACACATTTGATATCATAATTATTATTAATTCGTATGTTAAAAATGACTAAGATCAAAAAACATGTTTAAATTATTTAATCCATCAAAATAATACATTCATACATGTTTTTGCGCATGGTCAATTGTTTACAATCAAAAACTAAATATGAAAAAATACAAAAAAATGAAAAATACCGAAAAGTACATGTCTGATATCTATAATAATATACTAAATTTATTTATTAAAAGTAAAATATCAAAACTAAATTCGTTTTTATAATAAAAAACCTTTTTTAAATACATTCTATATTTATATATTACAGTCAATTATTTTTTATAAATTTAAGTATTATATTTTAATTGTCTACTTTTATTAGAAAAATACTAACCAAAATTCATATATTAGTTTCATAATGTTAAAAATTGTACGCCGTGTTGACTTTTTTAATACACCGGTATCCCATTTGAAAATACTAATCGATTTGTCTCAATAAAATACTAATCCAATCAAAAAGTTGTTTATTAGAGACTTTAAGAGTTTAAACACGGACTTTCGAAAAAAAAGTTTGGTCCAAAACTAAAAATGGCTGACATTCGGTCAAAAACATGATTTTTTAAAAATAAAAACTATGTGTTTTTTATTTACCAAATACACGTTCATGTCAAAACTTATAACTTTTGTAGGAAAAATGTTTCTATAAATTCTATAATTTGTGATATGAGTCTTTTAAGCTATTTTTAATTACCATACCAAAGTTACTACACATACCACGATAACGATAGGCATCAAAATAAAATAACAAAACTAAAAATAACTTAAGAGACTCAACTCACAAATTATGGATTTTATCGAAAAAATGTTTCTACAAAAGTGTTAAGTTTTGATAAGAATATTTATTTAGTAAACAAAAAATATATAGTTTCTTTAAAAAAAAACAACATGTTTTTGAATGTAAAATTATGATCTTAGTATAAAAATATATGTTTTTGCATCTTGATTTTTATTAAAAATATCTACGCATACAGCAAAATAATTAAAATAATTTCCAAATTTTGTTAAACGTGTTTTGAATATGTTATAAAATGTTTTAGCGCAAAAAATAATGTTTAATAATTGTTACTTACAAAATTATATTTGATAGATGAACCAAATATAATCTTAATATGTGATAATAAAACTTTTGGATTATTAGATTTCGCGCCAAAACATCATTTTAACACATTTAAAACATGTCTAATAACACATTGAATAAAATATTATGTAAATGTTTTTCTCTGTGCGAGTAATTGTTTTTCTGATAGTATAATTAATTTGGCTGTTTATTAAAAACAGAATAAGAAATTTCAAAGTATTAAAAACCACAAATTCTTTTTATCTTGAAAAAGTTCAAGACTAATTGTTTTTTTTTTTATTATTGATTGCATGAGATAACAATAACCAATTAGAATTCCAAGAACGTCATAAATACACAAATGTTTTAATATAAACGTTAATGTTGTTGTTGAAAAGTTCCTTAGAAATAATATAATTTTGTGTTCCTTAAAATATTGCAACGATTAAAATTAAGCTACTAAACCATTTTATGCGTAACGCATAATGTATTTTATTTAGCGGTAAAAAAATTGTTTAGTTAGTTCGAAATTTATAATAAATAATATTATACGACTCATTTATTTTATTTATTTATCTTTTTCAACAAAGTGTTAGGACTTAAGGTCTGAAAATTTACTGAAGGTAGAGTAGGGCTAACATATAACCAAACCATTAATTTGACGCTAAAAACAAACGAAAAATAAAGCCTAATATTTTAACAGTTTTTAGAATAAAACAACAATATAAGTGAAACACTTAAGCCTTAAATAATGAACACTATTATACTCGTATGAATTTTTGCTTATTTTTTATTTACCAACGATAAAACCAGGAAAAGTCAATATAACTTCTTTTTATCTCGTTATTTGGGAATTATAAGACACAAATAACGACTAAAGATTAAAATAATAAACACTTCTAAGACATAAAAAACAAAATTACGAGTACCCTTGATTTATGATAACCGACTTCATTATCGTTGATTAAAGCTAAAAAAAGATTCTGTTTTAGAGCCTTAATATTATAATATGCAGTATGCTCCTTTTTTCTAGTAATTTACATGTTGAACATATTTTTTTATTTGGGCATGAAATTGGAGCGTACTAGTATTTGATGTCTGCTTACCCTAAATTTATTCACCGTTTAAAATTATTTTATTACCGCCTAAAACTAATGAGACTACACTCAACTTTTAACTTTACTAAATCTATTTTTAAAAAATAAAATGTATAGATATTTCAAGTTTCTCACTCGTAAAAAAAAAGGATTTTATTACATTTTTTAGTCCTAAGACTCCTAACAACTAGTCTAAGTAGCTGACTGTCTTACAACTTCACAAAAGTAAAATTTAAATCTATAGTCAAATTGGTGACCGCCCAGACGTTACTGTTTCAGTTTCCCAAAGTACTATAAAATACTAAATGTGTGCTTTATATACCATGTAGAGAAAATGATTACTTCCCAATTATGACGGCAAATAGACATTAATAAAAAAATTTAGTAGGAAGTCAGCACAACGGGGTCGGGGTTTATATAAGTAGGTAATAATACATTAAAATTATTATTCTAAAATTGTGAGAGTGATAAATTGCACTGTAAAATTGGATGATAAAAATACATGTGAAATTCACAACGAAGCGTTTTTCCTTGAAAAAGTGATTTTATTACTTTCACAATTTATTAATTCTATGTGCTCACATCTTGATTATTTTTTTGCTTATTGCATAGTTTTATGACATGTTTTTAGGTAAATATTAAACCTGTATTAGCGCTGTCAAGACGAATAAATCCAACAATTGTTCCAATTCGTGTATTTTAACGTTCAATAGCGAACTAAATAAACTTGTTTCATGCTACAAAAACATTTTTTGTGTCATTTATAAAATACATTTTTTCCTTTTCCACTGGTATTATTTACTCAGTTATATAAATCTTAAGTTATTCATACCAAATTACCAATTGAACGAGATTTTTAATTATTAATGATGCAATGAAACTTTGGTAAAGCCGTGGAACCCCTATTAATACTCAGAAATCTATAAACTACGTTGTTATGTAGCTAAATGGTAACATTGGTGATACCACTTTGAAGACATATAATAATTGGAAGTTAAACAAACAAAATCGTTATTCCAGGTACATCCATTAAAGTAATTTTTGGTGTACATTATGTACATACAATGTTAATAAATCACAATTCATTGTCACAGTTCGGAGTTAAAGTATAACCGAATTTTTGTAGCAAGTATGGATTTTGATAATAATTATTTGTTATTTAGTATAATAATTATGAATTCGAAATTTTGACCGTTTATTCAATAAATAAAATATAAGGCGTTTTACAGTATCTCCAAAACTATAGCTGATAGCTGTTGACTATACGGTTATTAAAAAGAGATTTTTATAAGTGAAAAATGCTGGTATGAAGGCAGGACGATCAATAAAAACATGTCCAAGATATTGGCATGTTCACTCTCTCTCTCTATTTCTCTTTAAATGACATCACAACTCTCTTAGTGTTTTTTCTGCTTACACAACAACAGGTCACCTATCCCTGTCCCTGGACCAGTTTTCATTCTTTCGCTTTAAAGGCCTCCAAGTCTCTTCGACTAAGTCCATTCACTATTTGCTATGTCTATCACAGCGTTTTTTCTCTCGTGGCTTCTACTCTAGTGCCGCTTTAACATTATGTGGCCTTGCCATTGTGCCCTCTGATGAAACCCTTAGACATATTAATGGGGGGAAATATAATCCGATTTTATGGTATAATTATATGTGGAAGTCAAAGAACATTATGTTGATACTTAAATTGGGAGGGGGGCTTGAGAACAAAGGGAAGTGTATATTTATTCAACTTGTGAATCAAGGCCTTATAATGTACTTAAAGATGGACAAAATTATATATAATTAAACAAATAAATCAATAAAGAAAACTCACCTCGGGCTGGAGGACGAAATCTGCGATGGCTGTCTGGCGTCTTGGGTACGGATGAGAGTCGTCAGCATAGATAATGTTGCGGACGGTGCCGCTGAATCGCGGCTCGAAAATGACACTTGGCAAGGCCAACCGGGTTAGGCGGCCATTGTACCATCCGGGCATGCCACCTACGTACACGTCCGAGTTGGACACGAGTCGGCCAAACTGCATTTCCTTGCCAGTGGACGTAGCGGAGCTAGTGGTGTTGTCCACGGTAAGCGAGGTGACGGCACCGCGGCGCTCGACGGCCACCCGGTGCCACCGGTCGTCGAATAGGTCGTGGCCCGCTACCAGGATCTGTGCGCCACCACCCAAGTTGTACCGAAGCCGCAAGATGCCTTCTACCATTTTCAGTTCGAAAAAATCGTACGTGCCACCGTCGTCGGTGTACATGAGCAGTCCGCTGGGCGAACGAGTCTTAAACTCCATTTCCAGCGTACCGTTTTCGCCGGCGTTCCATTTGCGAAACTGGCCGTACGTACCTTCTAGTATCAGGCCAGCGTTTTCCAGTGGTGCGCCCAACCATAGCAGCCAAACGACGGGCAGCCACCATCGCAACATACGTCGATGCAGTTTGTCGATGCAAGTCATCTTGTCGTTGCAACAGACTTATCGGGATTACTTCATTAGCACATCCACTCCAGATAACGCCTAGAAAACCACAAAAAACACCCATTACTATCTATATCCTACGTAGATTGTATTTTTTTATTACTGTTATTAAAAAAATACCAACTGGCATTTTCATAGTCTAAATACTTAAGCCACCTTAAAACGTTTTTAAAAAATGTCATGGCATTGTTCCATTGTGATCTATTTTGGAGTATAACATATTATTGGTAGTATGAGTAATAGTATATTATAAGATGAGTTTTATGAAAGTCAAAAGAGCGTGTCCTATAAGGTGAAGAGCAGTTAAGAGCATTTCAGATTAATAGTGTAAACTGATCAGGATTTGCCTTCAGATCTTCAGTAAAATTAGACAAATGAATAAACTAGAAAAAAAGATTCAGTGCATAATTGTATCGTGAAGATGCTAGAAAGAGACATGAATGATATGATATGGTAGATCGGGTTGGAAAAATTCAGTATTAAGATTTCTAATACAATTAAATTTGGAAGATAACCTATCGTAAGTTGTTTGTTTTTACACTCGAGTAATAGATTTTACACTTGATAAACTCAGTCAAACAGGCAACTGTTATAGTCAAGTGTACCACCGGCGTCAAACTCCCAATTAAACTGTTATTTGAACGACTTGGTCCATTCTAAGTAGAATGTGTTGTATTTTATTTATCGAGTGCCATAATAGTGGCCCAGAGCTAACTAAAAAAACATGGCGCTCACGGCTGTTTATATATACACGAAGCAAAGTAATCTCATTTAACCCGTGTACATGTTAACATTTTATTGGCCAACTAATGCAAGCGAACAGGCATGATCATACGAAATGCAAGTAGATTAAAAAAGTTGCGTAAATGTGTAAAGTCTCAGAAGAAAAATAATTAGATTTGTTGTATAGTTTCTTAGTTACAAGTAAAAATGTACAGCATTTTCGAGGCACTCGAGATACTTCTTTTCTTTAGTCAAAAGCATGATTATGATTCGGGTAAATATATAAATGTACTAATATATATATATATATTATACTATAAACAGGTGATATGTTTAATTATTTACTTTATAACAATAAGTGAATTGTCCGTGTCATTTCTACTTTTTTATAAAAAAAAAACTACTGATATCAAACAAAAACACTTCCGTTCGCCGAGTGCAAATGGTCACTAAGTAAATACTATAGTGTAATTGAAATACACCGTTACCAACAAAAAAATCTTATACCCATAAAAATACAGTACATATCAAGACAGTCATGTAAAAATGAAATTAAGTTAACCTGACCTGGAGTTTAAGTTTATTTTCTACTACAGTTATCTTACTCCCGACCTAGTATCTACCTTTTAAAGTTTATTAAAAAACCATTTCGGTTTTTTTTTTTATACTTAGCGACCATTTACACTGAGCTAACAAAGTGTTTTTGTTGGGATTTTGTACCTTGTGGTAAACGAAAGAAACGTATCATTTGTTCAATTCCGCTTATCTCGGTAACTTTGTTCAGCTGTGAATGGCTTTCGATTGTTCAGGCACTCATATACAAAAACTCATTATTAAGTTCCAAAAGATTTCGCAAATCTTATATTTAAAACTCCAGAAATATTCAGCTCGACGCCGCGCCGACTGCCTTGATACCGAACAAAATATGAACCCAGCACAAACGATAATTACCTAGTAGTAGGCTTCGGAAAATAATGCCACCGCATAAAGTTTTTGCTGCCCTATAACTCTATATAATGACTATCGACTCGTCCAGAGTTGCTACCTGCACGCAAAACCTGCATACCCTATCATCTAAGTCCGGGTCAAGTTTTATAACGGCATAACCCAAACCAAACATATTTTTATAGTTTTATGGCGGTCTTTGCGCGTTTACTACCGAATTGGCCCGTTTTAACCATATTTCAGGTTATACACCGAGCGGTTATAAGGAGGTTTGCCACGATGCCGTTGCTTGTAATAAGAAGCTAGAAACTTTAATACAATAAACGATAAATAACACACGCGTTTTCGACCCACGTTCGACATTATTCAAGCGCATAATTTGAACACAGCGCAAATTATAGTACGAAACTCAACCGCTGCTAACTACGAACAAAATAATAATCTATTTTTGGCGTATTAACAAACCATACCATTGTGATTTCAACCGTTTTGTCAACAAAATTACACAATCAACTAGATATAATTGTGTCGTAAACTTTAGTTACAAGTGAGTTTACAAATAATACCTATATTCGATTATAAAATTATATTTACCGTTTGCACTGAATAAAACTTTAGAAAGTAATTTTCAAAAAAAAAAAAAAAATACTAGATGACTTAAATATTTATAACTGTATAAAATGTAATTTTTCCATCGAAGGAGAGTCGTTAAATCATAAATATATCTTAGTTCAACAATAATATCTTATCAATTAATTAGGGGTTATCGATTTCTTAATAGGGATAAATAGGGCCTAGAGGTATGTCCATTACAGAACACAGGTTCACATACACATATATATATAACAGCATTTAGTGTGGACAATAAAAAAATTTAAAAACCAATATCGCATTAAAGCTAAAATATTAATAAGGTTTTAATGTTTTATGTAATGTAATTACTAATTAAGTTATGGTATCATAAAATTTTCTTCAGAATCGATAAACGATTTTGAATTTTGAAAATCCATTAGACTTTAATTTTTAGAATTTAAATTTAGCTTTTAAAAAAAACATTTTTCTACGGAATGAGAATTCTGCCCAATTGGTAACCAAACACAGATGCCAGATAACATATCAGATTTGTGATATGTTATGTAAGATTTGTGGATCTCTAAAATGCGAGACATTTCCTATTAGGCGGATACAAATGCACGACGTTATCTAACGCGTCAAGCTGTGTAAACGTTGTACGACAAGTGGCGTTTGTGTGCGCGTAACGTCAAAGAAAAATGTGAGTCGTTCGTCTTTACCGCGAAACGTTTATACTTGTACTTATATGCAAAGCTGTCAGCCCCACCGACGGTTAAGTTTGCCACCGACGCCGGTCTATGTTTTTAATAGCGCGTCGTTGTGGCTGTAAAATCGTTATTCGATGAAAAAACAACCGATTGCAAATATCAACGAGGCCACCGTAGCCGGTCGAATGCCGTGAAAGTTCAATAACATGATCTTTGGCCCAACCAGTGTATGCAAAAAAAAAAAAAATACATATATTGCCATAACGCGTTCACGGTCTCTATTATAGGGTGTTATCCAGCGACAGTGATTGCAGGAAATTCCGCAGTCACTCCGCGGTGTTTAAAGCCAATTAAAACACATAATGAAATTCCAATGCCGCTTTTTACTTAACGCCAAGTCTACCGCACTTGATGCGACGGTAGTCTAATTATATCCAAGTCCTTTCATCCTAAACGAGTGCGTTTGCAATGTATTGACACTTCCACGTTTATTTTAGACACACAACTCTCTGAACACGACCATTTGACGAGCTTATTTAACTTTTTCTTTTTTTTGTCAAATCCTGTTGAAAGTTTAAACGTCAGATGTCTGCGGCTTAAAATATGCCTATATAGTTAAAATAGATTTTTCTACCGAGTGTACTTGAATGGTATAAGATAAGGTTTATCAACAACTTACAGTAGAATAATATAAAAAATTGTCACAAAATATTTTGATAGAAACCAATATTATAATACTGTTATTACTAAAAACCAGCATAATTTCTCTTAAAATTATTGAAATTTTGTAGTTTATCTATTTGAAAACATTTTTGCCTATTCTATATTAGAATACTAAACCATATTCAATTTTTTTTTTAAATAAATAAATTAACCAAACGTTTATTTCAAACGAGTTAAATTTCATAATATGTACTTTCGACTTTTAATGAAAATTTTATTTAAATGCCCGGAGCGATAAGAAACCCTGTTCCAGGGTTGAACCTAATCTTGTGTATTAATTTCTCGGAATCGCGTTCAAGAGCAACGGAGCATAATAAAATGTTCAATATACTTTTGTACGACATACTAAAATATACAAATTACCATGCTGTGGGTTACTAACCGTCTGCTGTTGGATTTTTAATTATGTGAGCGTAGGTAATGGGGTAACCACTAGTTAAAGCTAAATGTAACTTTAAATATTCTACCTTGTCTTTTAACTGGCGTATCTTTTCTTTTAAAGATAAAATACAAACAGCCGTATTGATCCACAATATTCGAAATCCTTATTATTTGAGTGGACGAAATTAAATGTACATAGGTAAATTTGTTTGCATTTATGTGACCACGGAAATATTTGTTAGAGTTTGTCGTATTGAGTAATGAACTATGTATTAAAATCGTATTAAAGTTTAGCGACGACAAATCCAATTACTGAAATTCCTCGCATATATCCTTTATTGTTCAACGATCAAAAACGGTATTAAGAGCGCCGCCAGTGATAACGTCGTGACTATAAAACTTAGGCTGGTATGTTTGTTCCAAATAGGATTATATCTCTAGTTTAAGTGCACGAAATCAGATTAGTCGAACGGGCAAGACTAATTTCCAAAGGATATACACCGACCGCCGTTTCTGCGTTTCCGTGCGTCTCACACGAACTAGTCATCAATCACTTCTGTCCGTTTCCAATACAAACGGCATTGTTCAATCGACTCTTTATTGAAACAACATTTCGATTTTGCTAACCCGACGGGCGTCGTGCAAACGATTATTACCGTTCTTGTTAAGCTCGACCAGATTGTTCTTGGTTTATCCCATGCAAACAAAGCAGCTTAATATTTTTATAGAAAATAAATTATTTTGATCTTGTTTGTGCCAAAACGTTTATTCATATCTGTATTATTTTTTTCATTTAATATTGTTTTTAGACTTTGTTATTACGCCAGTTATGCAAAACGTGTAAATTCTTGCGAGTAATTTTTCCGGGATCATAATATTTCATGTTCTACATGAAATTATTCTATACCCCATATGTTTGGTAACAAGACGACACTTTTGCAGATATCCACGATGCCAATCTGTTTTAATTCAGTTTCGTCGGACCTT